CCCCCCAAAAAAAAAAAAAAAAACACAGAAACCAAAGTTTTCAGCGGATTTCGGCTGTACTTAGCAAGCGCAATACAGCCCCGAACTCAGATTTGAAAAAAAAATCAGCGGATGACTGTTTTCTGACGGGTCGGCGGACCGTCGACCGGTCGGCCCTACCGGTCAGCTGCCATACGGTTGGCAGTCGGCGTCGGCCGTCAGCCGTCGGCCGGGGTGCAACCCTGTGTGAATGCTTAAAAGTTGTTCTAATCTGGAATTGGAGGAATCACGTGCAGCAGAAAATGGAGAATAGGTCTGCTGCTTGGGCTAGGAATTACAAAACTTGTTGTGTCGGAAGTCTGCAGTACGGGATGATAAAGACCGGTCTGGTCGAATTGAGCCGAAGTATTCTGGAATATTCAAATCTTCATACAATAATTCTCCGTAATAATAAATTGAGTCAAGAGTTAAACTGATAGACCGTAGTAAAATGTTCTATTCAGCCATAACAAATGCTCTCCGAACCGTGTGAGATGGTCGCCCATCACACGGCTCGCCAACCTGAGTTTGGTGCTCGGTTATATTCCAAGAGCTTCAAGACGTCGAATTATTTCTTGGAGGTGGCAAAGTCAATTGCAAAGCAGTCTGTCTCAGGAGAGGGAGGGGTACAAACAGTCTCTGACCTGATGGCCGTGTGCTTGTGTTTGACAGTCCAATCCATTGCTCGAGGCATTTGGAAATGCGAAGACTGTGCGGAATAACAACTCCAGGTGGGCATTGTTTGCTATGGTGCAATGCATGGCCTTCTGCCAATGACTGCAGACTTCTTCCTTTCGCATCCCTGCCAAGCTCTCCATATGTCTCCCTCCTCGTACATATCTCCAAGCCGTCCCCTGCGCTTTCTGTTTTGTTGAGGACATTGTCATGCTCTGTGACCGCGCGTTCATTGAAAGTGGGTTCAGTGTTCAATAACTGAACGCTATGAACGCGCGTTTACAGTGTGAACAGGTTTGCACAGCGGCTGAAACGCCACCAGGGGGGGTGTTTTTTGAGGGTCGCTTGCCATGGGGGAGTTTCATGGGGGGTCGGGAAGGGGGGCGGGCACCCACACATCCCTGTGTTTTTTTTTTTTAACGAGAAAAAAGAACAAAAAAACAAGAAAAAAGAAAATAGGAAAAAAAAACAGTACGTCCCCGCGTGTGTGCACACGCGCACGCATGTGTGTGTATGTGTGTGCGAACCGCACGCGCGCACACACACGCACACACACACACAGTCATGCTTTTTTTATGTTTATAGCGAATATGACAATACACACTCACACACACACACACACACACACACACACACACACACACACACACACACACACACACACACACACACACACACACATGCACACACACACACATTGTCTACATCTACAATATTATAAAAACTGCTAAATGTCATATCGCAAGGCCCGAATTGCTGACCGATCACCACCGTGGATGGTACGTATTGCAGGCCGATCAGAAAGTTTTCGGATCCACCTGCGATCCGGGCCGTCCTCGGTGGTGATCGGCCAGCGATTCGGGCCGCTCGATACTGGTTGGTACCAGAAGCGGAGATTTGCAGGCCCAACCATTTTTTATCTCCAAGGTCCACCCCCATTGGCCCGACCGCTTTTTCCTCCGCGGTCCACCCCTGAAGCGGCGAATCGCCTGCCCGTCCGCCTGTTTTTTTGTTGGCCACCCACCCCTCCAATCGCCCGCCCACCTGTTTTTCTGTTGGTGGCCCACCCCTCCAATCGCCCACCCACTGGGTGGTACCGGAAGCGGCGAATCGCCTGCCCGCCCACCGGTTCGTGAGTTGGTGTTCTACGTGAATTCGGTGCTTGGTGCTTTGCGAATTGCGTCGTGAATTTGGTGTGCTACGTGCTTGGTACTTCCGTGAAGCATTGTGGATTCTGCGCTTCATGCTTCGTGCTTCGTCCTTGGTACTTCGTGGATTCAGTGCTTGGGACATTGTGGTGAATTCGGTGCATGGTGCTGTGCGCTTCATGGTTCGTGAATCATCGGTACATGCGACTTGGTGCTCCGCGCTCTGTGCTTAGTGCTTTGGTGCGTCGTACTTTGTGAGTTGGTGCTTTCGTGAATCGGTGCTGAGTGGATCCGTGGTTCACGCATGGATCGTGAGTTCCTGCTATGTGCTCCGACGTGAGCTTCGACATGGATTCCTGCTCGAGTGAGTGTTTCTACTTCACCTCGAACCTACATTCCCAAACCCTTTTGAAAAAACCGTAAAACAAACCTTACATTCCTTCTCTTTTTTGGGGAGGAGGTAGATAATGGGGGAATGGGGGTCACTGCCAGCAAGTGGGTCAGGCTATGGGGGGTGTGTGTGTGTGTGTGTGTGTGTGTAGAGAGAGAGAGAGAGAGAGAGAGAGAGAGAGAGAGAGAGAGAGAGAGAGAGGATGGGAAAGACAGAGAGGTTGAGAGACAGAGCGGGTGAGAGAGGGAGAAACCTTCTTCTTCTTCTGCTTCTTCTTCTTCTTCTTCTTCTTCGTCTGTGACCTCCATGTCTAGGGTAGACTCCGTTTAAGCTGACTTCACGGATGTACTGGACAGTCAGACTATAATGTAGTGTAGCAAGTGTTGCTTTTCTGCAATTGCAGCGTCGATTGCATTGACTCGTGTCTTCTTCTTCTTTTTTTCTTCTTTTTTTTTTGTCTGTGTCACTATGATTCCCGGCTGCTATTGATTGAACCGTGCATAAGGCTGTATGAGCCTGTGTGAGCCTGTATGAGCCTGTATGAATGTCGACGGCCATCCCCCAACAGAATCCCCGAACATCCCTGCGGCCCTGCCCCCAAACACCAAAGCAAAATGTCGAAATATGGAGTGAAACCGTTACCTGCATCAACCCCCTCCGAGCCCTCGAACAGCCCCTCATAA